AACCCTGGACTTCAGACCACTGATGGAAGTGTTTAAAAGCACTGCATCTTTTACAAACTCCTGCAGAGCCTCATTAATAAGATTTCACTTTTTGTGTAACACGTCAAACCTTTTACTATCATTTAGTATGCCAATCAAAAAATACTCTTGATCCTGGTAAAATAAGAATAAATAGACACAGCTTGAGGATGAGATAAAATACTTGAAAACTCAAGCTCCTGAAGTTTGGATTCTGCATTAGTCCTACAGGTGTTCTGGCATTCTGGTAGGAGTGGAGATGCAAGTATGGCTGACCATGGTGGAAAGCTAGTAATAGACTGTTCAGTGTACTCCTGAAAGCTCATTCCATATGAGTAGGACCCATCATTCAATGATCTATCTTCAGAACGACTTCAGCCGGAGATTAAGAACAGAGCAGCTGGTTATCACCGTTTTATGTGTCAGGACCTTCTTCAGCTCAAAAGGAAAAACCCAAGTAACTCACCTAATCCTGCAGGTTATATTTCTGCTACTATTTCAATGAAAACAGTTATGAAAAAGGACTACTAGGATGATTCTTGTCAGACTCCAGAAGTTGCATGACACATACCTGAAGGAAGCTTGAAGCACTTTATATTGGAAGTCAGGAAATGTGAACACTGGATCATGTTTCTGGTCCCACTGAATAAAGTTTTGTTTGCTAAACTGCATTCACTGCAAACAAAAGAGTTTAAGCCTGACCTCCACTGCTGTTCCTCTGCATTCTTCCAACCCAGCAGAACAGCTATAATTATGGCTACCCTCGATCCTGTGGGATTTTCCCTAACTGGAACAATCTGTGTTTTCCTTCTCTATTGGGATAACTTTTCTGAGTGAGGTTGATAAAGGTTTACCTCTGGGTATAGAAGTGGCCACAGGCAGACAGAGATGGCTACAGACAGAAATTATAGCAGCCAGTACAGATAGGCCAGAGGACATGCACGCAAGTCTTGGCAGTTCAATTCCTCTGACTTGGTTTAACAGTAAGTCAGGAGTTCTAAAATACAAGACTGCAGTGTTTTGTATAAGGTTTTGAGACATACAGTTTGAGTTCTTGAGGGATGAAGTATTTCATTACAGTGAAATAAAATGTCCACACATCCCTCTTTAGAGGGATCAGAAATCCATCCTGCAAGACTGCTCAGCCAAAAAGGATTATTTATTTTTGCTGCGCTGCAGCTATAGTCAACGTTTATTTACTATCTTCCTCCCAGAACAAAGAGGAAGCACCTCAGAATTACCCTTCAAAGGCAAGTGTCTGGCTGACAATGCCTCCAGGGACTTACAAAGTGGAGGAGCTGCTGGTCCCACTTCCTCCTCCTTACAGCTGGGTTCACACACACAGTCAAAACATGCTCTATTTACCACAAGCCTTACAACCCGATTCAAAATGCAAACAGTTCTAATCAATTTTTACAAAGGTTTAGCAGACCTAAAAATTACAGGTCAGGACCTGCAGGTTCTTCCTGAACCAAGCAATTCTGCTGCCTTACCAACAGTGCTTATATCCAAATGGACACACAAGAATTCCCAGCTCACACAGAATCGGACTTTCAGCACTTGCAAAAGTTGGCGGGGTTTATACCAAGTGCTGGATTCTCCGCATTGTAAAATGCACTAACATAGTAACCAGGACTCACGTCTTGAGCATCTCTTAATCACACTGTGAATGTTTTACGACTGCATGAGAGCATGGCAAGAGAGCAAACTCTTTCACCAAGACTTCTACTTTCCAGTTACATTGCCCACCTTTACTGCAACCCAAGCTTTATTTTTCAGTTTATGGAGCTGCTGGTCTTCAGTCTGTTCTCAATGACTATCTTCTCTCCATTCACCATTTCTGAAAAGAACCTAGCAATGGAAAGTTTATCAGCTGATGCTTCTATCCACACACAGTCCATAACATGATGGTGGAAAGCAGTTTATTACATATTCTCACTACACTAACATCTACATTTCCCTGAAAGGCTATAATGCAATGCTGTGAGCTTTGGACCCTCAGATTCCTTTGTCTCAATGACTTCTGTGAGTATAGAGTACTTTTCAATAACTGTATGTAGTTGGTGATAGAAGAAAACAATGTTTGATTCAAGAAATAGATCTGATGATCCTTTTAATATAAACTAATTAAAAAAATCTTTTGGACTAACTGCTAGAAATAATTAGAAAAAGCAGAGCACTTAAACATGACATGACTTTTTCTCCCACTTCCCAACAGAAGCATCACTGATTTGGTTTGAGCTTTATACTGCCTTACACACAGGAACTGGCAGACCTGCTGTTAGCATTGTGTCAACGGGATTAACACAAGAGAAGCTGTGCTTGAAATTCAGCATGAAATTGAAAAATGGGCTACCCATCACAGGCACGCAGACGTTTGCAAGACTGGATCTCGCACAAAGCAACAATACAATGCCTACATGGGGGCAGAGACAGGTGGTTAATAATGCTAGGAACTGCAGTTAATACTGAACAGCAGAAGAAATCTCAGAGGAACCCTCTCAGTTCAAAACAGCCGAGGATCTAAACGTTGATTATAATATTTTTTGTTTGATGATTGATAGATTTCTGAGCTCCAGGTATAATGAAAATAGGTATCTGTGGCTGTTCCTGACAGAACATATCTCAGCCTACTACCTATAAATATGGCCTCATAAATACACAGACCACAAGACATTCCTTCTTCATTTAAAAATGGGACAAAAAATGAATTGGGGTATCTATGATTCTTTAAAAAGTTATCACACAGCCATATAACAAGTGACATAAATGTTAATTAATCTGAACACTCCATAAAACCATAATCCCAACTTTAAAAGCCAGTAGCTCTTATCATTTTATAACCACAGTTTTATAGCTCAGGTCTATTACATAAAAATATTGGAATTAACAAAGGTTTCTGGGACTCAAACACTGACATTTGAATTTCAAAAGAACTCTTACATGAAATGATAGTGTTGTACTTCCCTCTATGGACCGTATACTCCCTCCTCACCAATAATAGAGAGATATGCTTACACCAAATAATAGCTTGTTTTTAAAACATTATTAACTCCCCAAAGTCTCCCACTTTAACTACATTTTTACTGCCTTTAATACTTCAACATTGTACTTCATAAAATTGCTTTAGCATAGAAAGATACTCAGAATACCTAAACATGGAAGGTATAAGCACATGAATATAATCCCAGAAGAATGTATTCTTTTTGGAAGGCTGGTAATTCAGGAAAACAGATGTGTTTGCTCTAACAACAGTTTGCTCCAGATATACCCCAGTCAAATGAAACGCCGATATTAAAGGTGCAGTGATCCCACACTCCACTGAGAAGGGATGGTCAGAGACACCTCCAAGACACAACTCGAATCCCAGTTGGGTTATAACAGTCCACAGAGACAAAAAATGCTCCTGGTTAACTGTATGGAAACCAGACAGCCACTAATACTT